CAAATGTGCGTGACACACGGGATGAATGCATGGATTGTGATAAGAGCTGCACGAGCCCCAATAAAAGTATTCCATAAAAAAAATAACAGAAGAAGAAAGCAGGGTCTCAAAGGTAGACAGTTGGTTGACTCCTTGCTCGCGCTGACTTTAATGGGGTCACACCAGTGGGCAAGACTGCCCCCCTGGGGGAGGCGCTGGAACAATCCAGGGGAGGTGGCAAAACAGATGCCTACATTTTATCCTGGATAATGGGCTATAGGACAAATGCTTTTAATTGCCAGAGCTGAGGGTGAGTGTCCCCCCCACGCCACCCCAGCCCCACTGAAAAGGCGGTAGGCCCAAAATAGCTCTGGAACCTATAATGTAGGATATGTGCTAAGCTCATCACCTTTGGGATAATAAAACGAGCAGATTAGGCGGTGACGCAAGCCAGCGGGGAGACAGGGAAGACAGAGGCCAGACGCAAGAAGAGGGCAAAGAGCTACAGCAACGGAAGCGGGAAAAGGCCGAGGGCCTTCCCCCAGAGCAAGCCTTCGCCCAGAGCCAGCACCCTGAAATTAGACTCCTAACTTGCTGCGCTACGAGCAAACACATTTCTGTTCCTTCAGGCTGACACCAACCTCATCCATTTCCTACTTTCTAGACTCAAACCCCCCGAACCAACCGTCCTGCCATGAGTCCACTTTGACTCACAAGCCCCTAGCGGTCAGGGTAGAACTGCTCCTGTGGGTTTCTGAGCCTGTAACTCTGTACAGGAGTAGAAAGCCTCCTCTTTCTCCTCAGGTGCAGCTGGTGGTTTCAAACTGCTGACCTTGTCGTGAGCAGCTCCAATGTATAATGCACTAAACCACCAGGGCTTCCTACATTCTGGGCTAGAGCTGTAATTTTCCACCACCCTCTGCCCTGGTGGGGTAGTGGTTACACACTGGGCTGCGGACCACAAGGTCCACCGTTTGAAACCACCAGCAGCTCCCTGAGAGAAAAATGGGGCTTTGTACTCTCATAAAGAGTTACAGTCGTGGAAACCCACAGGGGCAGTTCTACCTTATCCTGTAGTCGAGATCAACTTGATGGCAGTGAGTTCAGTGGGTTTTTATTTTTCCCGTTCTTTGATTAAATACGACAGCGTATTCTAAGGAGACCTGGTGGCGTAGTGGGTTACACGTTGGGCTATTAACTGTGAGGTCAGCAGTTTAAACCTACCAGCTACTCCTCGTGAGAGAGATGAGGTTTTCTGCTCCCATAGAGAGTGAGTCTCAGAAACCCACAGGGGCAGTTCTAACCTGTCCTATAGGGTCATTATGAATCAAATTGACTCGATGGTAGTGAGTCTGGCTTTTTTTGGTTCACAGTGTGTTCTGGGTACACCCAACTGGAGGCCTCCCTTCCCATACGCCCTTGTAGCCAGCAGGGACCATGTGTCTGGAAGAGATTCGAAGCATCTACCCACCAAGATAGCACCAGCACGAACCAATCAGAATCGAGAGCTGGCCAATGCGTATAGACACCCATCATAAGAACCAAACCTTGGCCCTGGCCATGTGATCGCTTCTCACCAACAGACTGTGATAGGTGCTTCTCTGGGTCGCTGGCTCACAAGACAATTGCTCTCCCTTTACAATCAGGAAAAAGGCAAGGGTGTAGATGAGCAGAAAGGAGATTAGTGGTTGCCAAGAGCTTGGGGGAGGGAAGAAAGGAGAGGGACTGCTCACTGTGTACTGAGTTCCTGTTTGGGGAGCGATGACAGGGTTTTATAAACAGTGATGATGGCTCTTCAGAGCACGGTCACAGGGCTAATGTCAGTGGACTGATTGTATTTTGGAAAATGACTACAACAGCTAATTTCATATTGTGTATATTTTACCAAGGAGCCCCGGTGACACGGCGGGTTATGTGTTGGGCTGCTAACCAGAAGGCCAGCAGTTTAAACCCACCAGCTGCTCCTTGGGAGAAAGAGGAGGCTTTCTACTCCCGTAAAGAGTTACAGTCCAGAAACCCACAGGAGCAGTTCTACCTGTTGCAAAGGGTCACTATCGATCAAAATAGATTCAATGGCAGTGGGCTAAGAGTTTTGATCTTTTACTACAATTTTTTAACTACATGCTTTTATTGGGGGCCCTTACAGCCCTTATCACAATCCATACAGTCACCCATTGCGTCAAGTGCAATTGTACATATGTTGCCATCCTCATTTTCAAAGCATTTGCTTTCTACTTGAGCCCTTGCTATCAGAGCTGATACAATTTTTTAATACAATTTTTTAAAAAGGCAATTGCTCTAGAAAGATCAGCAGGATGGCGTGGGATGGGGCATGAGTGTTTGTTAATGAGCAGCAACTCAGAAAAGGTCGCACAACTGGGAGAACGGAACCCAGGTTATGAAATGCAACCTGCAAGAACGGCTGTGTGTGTTGTCCGGTGTCTGTGCACAACAACAATAAATAAAACGTAAAGGAAAAATGATCCCGGTGGTGAGCTCTATCAAATGCAACACGAAGCACACAAAACCCGGCTGCTGTCAAGTTGATGCTGACTCATCACAATCCTATATAGGTTTTGCCAGGCTACCAATCCATACGGGAGCACACAACTTCATCGTTCGCCCCATCCCCAAGAGCCACTGGTGGGTTTGAACCAAGGACCTTGGGGTTCAGCAGGCCAATGCGTCACCCACTATGCCACCAGGGCTGCTTTTAACCCCAGACCAAACCAAAAATCAAAGTTACAACCATGGAGTTCATTCAGGCTCATAGTGACCCCAGGGGACAGGGAGAGCCCAACTCACCCCACCCCGTGTCATGCCCAGGCTGGAAATCATTCCGGGAGTAGAAAGTCTCCCTTTTCTCCAGAAAAGCAGCTGGTGGCTTTGAACTGCTCACCTTGTGGGTCGCAGCCCAACATGTAACCACTTTGCCACCCAGGTGGCTGTTAACCTCCGAAAACCCAAACGTTGAGAATGATAAGGGGACCGAATGTACAAATGTGCTTGACACAATGGATGGATGGATGGATTGTGATAAGAGTTGTACGAGCCCCCAATAAAGTGATTTAAAAAAAATAACCCAAAGCGGACAAACTTGGGACCATCGAGTGGATGCCAACTCACAGAGACCCTATAGGACAGCGTAGAAGTGCCCCTGGGAGTTTCCGAGACTGTAACTCTCTATGGAGAGAAGTTAGGTAGGGCTACCCAACCAGGGCCCCAAACCCTAGACTGCTCCGGTGGGTTTCCAAGATCGGAGCTTTTGCTAAACCTCATCTTTCTCCCACGGGGCAACTGGTGATTTCCAATGCTGACTTCCCGCTTAGAGCCCACCGTGGAAACACTGCCCCTCCAGAGCTCCCAATCCCAGGAGGGGCGCCTCATCACAACTCAGTCCACAGAAAAGGAACTACAGCCTGAGCTGTGGCTGTCGCGGGTTAGAAGTCTGTCCTCCAAAATCGAGTTTCCTTTGTGTCGTTATTGGCTCATTCCTGAATAGGGGACTTCAGGGGGAGGGGGGGGTGTCTTCTCAATCTAAACGTTTCTGGCTTATAAAGAAAAGGTCTCCATAGAGATGCACATGGGGGATATCTACCAAGCTAAGGGGCCCTGGTGACACTATGGGGTCAGGTGCTGGTCCACTAGCCTCAAGGTGCTTCTCCCAGCAGCTGCTCTTCGGGGGAAAGAAGAGGCTGTCTGCTGGGCGATGATGGACTTGGAAACCCCCGTGGGGCAGTTCTACAGGGCGCTAGTGGCTTAGTGATTACATGGTGGGCTGCTAATCGCAAGGCCAGCAGTTCAAAACCACCAGCCGCTTTTCAAGAGAAAGACCAGGCTTTCTCCTCCTCACAGTCTCAGAAACCCACAGGGGGCAGTTTTTCTCTGTCCTATAGAGGCGCTAGGAGTCAGAACTGACTGCATAGGAGTGGTAACCCCCTAGGAATTGACAAAAACTACACAAGGGCAGTTCTGGACTGGGGCTTCCGATCTCTGGCATTGTGGAAAAAATAAAATAAACAGTTGTACTTTAAATGCACCCCTTTGGGGACATTTCTGTTATAACGGCCCCCTGTGGGCCAAGGCCTAAGGTTCTGAGAGGGGACACACCCATTCGAGGTCGCTCAGCCAGCCTGCCCATGCACCTCCCCATCCCAGACCCCGGGGTGCGGGGGGCCTCACCTGTGCAGACTCTCCCCGCGGTGGGTGCGGTTCTGGGCACGACAGTCGTGGCCCAGCTCGGGCAGGAATCCATAGTCCCGCAGCAGGGCCTGGGCACCTCTGGCCACCACGGCCACGCCGGCCACCACGCGCCGGGCCAAGTCGTCCCTCCAGCCAGCTGAACGCACCGCGAACAGGCCGGCGGGCAGCGGGGCCCCGCCGGGCAGGAGCAGGGGCTCCCCGGGCGCCCCCGAGCCCCCGCCGCCGGCCAGCTGGGGCCCCACCATGAACCACACGTGGCCCGGCCCGGTGAGGCCGGCCTCGTCGGCCGCTCGGAACACCGGCTCGGCCTCCTCGCGCGCGCAGAAGAGCAGGCGGATCTGCGCGCTGACACTGCGGAGCTGGGCGCCCAGCACGGCCTCCCCAGCCCCGGGGTCCAGCAGCAGCGCCCCCCGGTGCTCCCAGCCCACCAGGCTGCCGTCCGTCAGCACCTCGATGTAGGACAGGAAGGCCCGGTGGCCGGGGGCCCGCGTGGTCACCGCCACGAAGGACGTCCAGTCGTACTCCTCCAGCACCTCGAAGATGACCTGAAGCTGCTGTTCGGTGGAGGAGCCCAGCTGCAAGAAGGTGGAGCCCTTCTCCTGCGGGGGAGGGGCCAGCTCTGAGGGGCGGGGCCCGTTCTGGGGGCGGGGCCCCCGGGCCAGGCATCCCGCCCAGCCCGGGACCTCCCCTCCCATTGGCCCAGAAGGGACCAAACCTCCCAGGGCCCAACTGATAAGAGAGCTACACCTCCACGTGGCTGAGTAGGAATCACATCTTCTACCCACTGCTCTCAGGGGCCAAGAGAGTATATCACCTCCCAGCCATTGATAAGGGGGCCCCAACTCCCATCAGCCAATCAGGGGACTATAGCTCCCAGGGGGAACAAGAGACCCACAGTCCCCAAAGCAGACCACAGCTCTCAATGTGGTAAACTAACTGGCTGCCCATACCCCATCTCACAAACAAAGAAACCAAACAGTTGTCATGAAGTCCATGCCAACTCTTGTGCTTGGCCGAGTCGAGATGTGGTCCGTAGGCTTTCCTGCTTTCTTTTCTGAAATAGGTTGCCAGGCCTTTCTTCAACATGCCTCTGAGTGGACCGGAACCCCTCTGCGCCACTCAAGAACTCCAGCTGTCCAACACACTCATTTCGTTGTCCTCCTGGGGCACAGAACCGAGGGGCTAGCCCTGGTTGGCTTCAGTCACGAGATGGAGTTCTTCCAGGTTGGTACATGAGACTTTCCGTCCTGCGTCATGAAACCTGGTCTTTTCTTAGTCACAGACATACACCGAGGCTCTGGAAAAGAACCCAGAGGGCCTACGGGGCTGCCACAAGAAGGGAGGCCAGTCACCTGACTCACCTGGTCCCTGAGTCACCACCTGAGTAGCGTCACCTCTAGCAACCCAACCTATTGTGTTGAACCTCAGAAAATTTTTGGGGGATGGTGGTGATTCTCTGTTACAGCAACTAAAACAAGCATAAATCAGTGCACTCCACATCCATCCAGGGAAATGTAGTTCCCAGCATTCCCTGTGAGGGGACCGGTTTCCCTGCCTGCAACAGGGGGACTACATTTCCGAGCATGCAATGCAGGTGGTCCGTGGACAATTTACTAAAGGGGCTTCCCTTTCATTTAGGGTTTTCCCTCCTGCTCCCTAGTTCATCTTTTCTTCCTCAGCCAGAATTTTAACTGTAGGCGTTCTCGCTCCGCAGCATCTTCCTTTTCCGTCCCTGGCGATGTCATTCAGACCCGTGGGTTTAATCACTTGTGTCCTGCGCTGTTCAATATGGCTGCCACTGGCCCCATGTGGCTATTCAAATATCTATAAACTCAAAGGAAAGAAGACGGATCACTCCGTTTCCATGGTTGCATCAACATGGGTCAAGTGCCCAACAGCCATGGGTGGTGGCTACAGTATCGGACTGCAGACATTGAATGTCTTCATCTTTCCAGACTGTTCTACCGGACAGTCACAATCTCTTTCAAGAGTTCTGAGCCTTGGCCGTCCAAGTTGCATCTCCAAATTAAGGAGCCTGGAAGCTCAAATCGTTAAGTGTTCGGTTGCAAGCCAAAAATTTGGCCGCTGGAACTCCATCATGGGAGAACCAGGTGGTATTCTATTTCCAAAAGCCTAACAGCCTTGCCAACCTCAGTGGCAGTTCTACCCTGTCCTAGAGGGTTGCTGCGAGTCAGATTTGACGTCACAGCCACAGGTTTGGTTTTTCAGGTCTGGCTACTCACCGAAAGGTCAACAGTTCAAACCCAGGAGCTGCTCCAAGGGAGACAAGATGACAACCAACTGAACCCCCCTGGGAAGTTCTACTCTGCCTGTGGGGTGGCCAAGAGTCAGAATCAAGTGGATGGCATACCACAGTGATCTCTCAAATCAAAATAGAATTCTTTGAAGGGAAGATCAGGAATTCAAAGAGCAACCTGATAGGATCATTTGGATGAGAACAGCGAGCATGGTTACCCAATGTCAAAGATGCCGTCAATGTCACCGGGGTTTCTAGAGAACAACGGCAGACCGGATACATACCATTGGGCAGCTTCTCACCACAAGTCAAAAGAGGCTTGAGGAAAACACAGCTCCCAGCAGTCCGTTCCTCACTGCCGCTCTGCATGCCTCCCACTTTGCTCTCTCATCTGGGTAACTGCGATGGCCTCCCAGCCAGTCCCTCTGCCCATTCTTGCATCTTCCAATTCAAGCCACAGCCAGAGTGATGGTTTAAAAATATTAATTGGATGCCATCCTTCCTCGGTGGGAAACCTTCCAACCATGATCCATCTTCTTAAGAATCAAAGCCAAGGTCTTCTCCGTGGCCCACGAGGCCTCGGCATGAACTGGTCCCTGTTGCTTCTCTGACCTCATCTCCCGACACCTCCCCCCTACTCCCTCACTACAGATGGGCCCCAGCCACACTGGCCTCCTCACTCTTGTTCAAATACATAAGCTTCTTCCTGCTTCAGGGGTTTTTGGGGACACTCCTCCACCACTCCTCCTCCCTCAGCTCCAACACCATTGTCACCTCCTCAGGGAGGAATTCCAAGACTGCTGCTTCTATTACAGCCCTCCTTGCTCGGTCCTTGCCCCACCATCCTGTTTCTTCCTTCCCACTGCACACTCTGTTTCTCCATTTCTCTGTCTTCTCATTAAAAGTCAAGCTCTAAAACAACAAGGACATTGTCTTTTTTTCTTTCTTTCTCTTTTGTCGCTATCCTTCCCTCAGAATTAAGAACAGCCCTGGCACAGAATCAGTCCTCAATAAATCCTCCAGGGATGTCAGGAAAACAGCAAGTGGATTCTCTCCTCGGGAAAGGGGTGTCCGTGTCCATGGGTTCCGTGTAGAGGCCAGGGCCGTTGTTCTGGAAGGAGAGCTCCCAGCATACACCGAAAACCTTGAGAATACTCCATCCTTCGCCATATAAAGGTGTGCTGAAGGGACCACATTCCCAGCATGCAGTGGTGCGTTGAAGGAGATGAGAGGACCATTTCTTTCAGAAATAATGTGGGGACTATACATCCCAGAAAGCAATGGAAGAGTGGGGGGCAGGGGACAATGGCTGAAAGACAATGTTCAGCCAACAATGTACTAGAGCGGACCACATCTCTTAGTATGCTATGTAGGTGACAGCCGGGAAGTGATATATTCACCTCACAGGTGGTCTGCCTGCAAATCTCCTGGGCCAAGGGGAACATGAATGTTGGACAGATCCCCTTCCCAGAATGCTCCGGGCAGGTGAGAACTACAAGTACCAGCATGCAGTGCTGATCCAGTCACCAAGCCACCTGCCCTCACAGCCGGAAATTGGGGGTGACTTCGGCCCCACCCACCCGGGTGGCTCCACCCACTTCCCTGGGCCACTGGCTCCACCCATTTGTCACAGTCCACTCACCACCAGGCTCGGTGCAATTTGCCCCCTTCCCTACCAAAATCCACTTAGCATCTTTCCTCTTGCACTCCAGAAGCGCCTAAGTCATGCAACCTCTGCCCCACCCCTCCCCTGCTGGCTCCAGGCTCTGACCTTTTTTCTAGTCCTTCTTGCCTTTACAGTGGGGCCTCCATCCTCCCAGATCCAACTTTGCTGCTCCTCAGACCCTGCCACCAGGTTCTCCTTCCCTTCTGGACCCTGCCTATCTTAATATTGTGCAGTGCCTAATGCACAGTCCCTAAGCCCCTACCCCACCCCACCCCCGTCTCCCTAGTCTCACCCCTCCTTGGCTAGACCTGCCTTTTCCCTGCTCTTGCTTCTGCCCTTTCCCGCCAGTCTTTCTCCTCTAGTAGATGGCTCCGCCCGCCTCTGTAGACCCAGGGCCCGGGTGGTAGGCTTTCTCTCTCTACTAGACCCACATTTAGCTGGCTGAGCCTCCTCGAAGACCGGACCCCTCCATGCCGGATGCCCTTTTCCTTGGTCCCTAACCCGGCTGCCAATGAGATGAACTGACACGGCAGCGACTGCATCCACACTCAAACATAGCAACAGTGCCAAGGCTGGCAGAGGTTAGGCGCTGGGGGACTCAATGGCCTTCCTGGTCCTTGCCTCCTCCTTGGTCTCCATCCCTAAATGGGATTACCCCCCCTCCCCCCGCCCAAACGGATCCCTCATCTCGATGACCCCACTTCTTCCTAGACATCTCATCCATAGACACCCTCTCCATCCTAGTCCTCCTGTCGCGCCGATCCTTGCCCACCATGACTGACTCACGATCTCATAGCCTAGTCATGGAAGAATATCCAACCTCTCTGAGACCTTGTCCTGCCTCTAGCTGACCCCTTCCACAGGACTACCTGCAAGTCCTACTCCAGCAAACCCCCTGTGTCCGCTACCCCGCCACCCGGGGAAGCTGAGCCCAAACCCGACCACGCCCCGCTACAGAAGCCACGCCTCCAGCGCACACCTGGTCCCGCCCCATGCAGAGTGGGCACCCGCGGGCAAGCCCCGCCCCTCGGACGCCCCGCCCC